ATTTACAATCTTAGGATCTTCGAAATAACGTGGTAATTAAAAAAATCTTACCTTTATTTGGAGAGGATGATGAAAGACGTATGGGACTCTTAATTTACAAGAGGGGTTATCGGGGCCTTAGTCATTTTCTTTTGGGCTATATTAACAAAGAAATATAGAGAATTTTCCCTTGTTTTGGGGGTGTGGTGGGCGATGGAACGTGAGGGAATACGTCAACAGACCTACTAAAAAAATTGTATAAAAGAATAATTTTGTTTACTATGGAATTTGAATAGGTTAACAACACTGAATTCTAGAGTGAAGATCAAACAAAAGAAGATGATCAAACTGAATGAAACTCAATCACTTCTATAAAGAAGTCGACGCATGAGAATAACGTGAACGTGCGTTAGAAGATCAAAAGTTTGATCAATTTTTAGTGTAATGTACAGAAACAGTGAGAGTCTCTTGTGAAACGTGATTAGAATCACAAATCTCCCCAACAGACACATTGTCCCGTATAAATGCACCAGGTATGCCACAAAGATCAAACTTGTGAGTTTTTCGTAAAAAAGAACTGTGTCCACTCTGGCGACGAATTATAAAACAAAAGGGAAAGGAAAAAAAACAAAGCACATGGCCACTAACTTACTACCGTGACAAAAACATCGCACCAGTTCAACCTTACGATCTGACCACACATGTTTATCAAAAAAGAATTTGAGCAAGATTTAGCGAATTTTGACATTTTTTATAGAATTCCGTACAGCTTCAATAGTGATATAAGCCTGCAAGCACCTAAATTATATTCATTAGTAAAATTGCATAAGTCGTGTATTCTTTTAGATTTGTTGTTTTATCAGTCATTGCATCTGCTATTAAATTTTAAAAAAGTCAACAAGTACTATCAATTTCATTGATCAGCTTAAATCCTAACGCAGCATTAATAATTTAAAAATCTTTTTTAAAAATTAAGTAATATTCAACTAAATGGTTAATCAATGTTACTATCATTAAATATAAGAAATTTATTTCTGTCTAGTCTAATCATAAAAGTAAAGTTACACATTTGAAAATGATTTACGAGAAAGATAGTTAATCCACTTATCTTACAAGATATCATGCAAGTCTCAAAAATCTCTCTGGAACAAAATTATTTTGGATTTGATGGCAAAATTTTCTTAGTTTAACATAGACTAATATTAGGTCCATTACATTAACTTCCAACTAAAATTTTTATGAACCATTTCAAAAAATACATTATAAATATCCTCTATATTAATATTTACTTTTTTGTTATTAATACGTTGATAATATCCTCGCCTGTTGAACAGGTACAAATATGTACCTTGATATCTTCTTAAAAAATTTTAATCTAATTGGGAAAAATATAAGTTTTACTGTAAAAAAAAAAATTAGTCGTATCATGAATTCTTTAGTGTATTTTTTAAAAACATAGATCATCGAGTTTTCTTTACGATATTTAATAATGCAGATACCACTATTAACAGATTTTCATTACATCTATATTCTCATAAAATGGCTTCGTTTCATCGTTATTTAAGTAAGTTGCTTTTAGTTCCACTATCACTAGACGATAATCGTAAAGAATTCAACTGGATAAAGTATGTAGCATACAATAATGATTATGATTCAAACATAAAAGATATTTTACTCAACAAAAAAACATACGAACTAGCTATTGTACATGTATAGAAAATTTTAATTACATATCCGTAGGATGAAGAGGTGAAAACTTTGATACTAAAAGTAAGAATCATAAAAGTGCCTTTATAAATAATCATCTTGATAAATGAAATTTCACAAACCATGTACTTTAACATGACCATATATATAACGATAGTTTTTATGAGTTACACTTCTGCAATAAAAGTAAAAGATTTAACTTATAAGACGCAGTAAAAATCGAAAAAATTAAGAAAGTAAGCTCAGACATACTTCTGAACTTGCAAGTGGATTTTACTACGTCAACACTTTTAAATACGTTTTTATTTTACGACTTACTCATTGTTATTTGTCAATGTATTATGTATGTATACTCCTACATTAACCGTAAGAGTTCAGTTGTAGAACGGTCACCACGATCGTCTAATTAAGCCACTATGTAGCGGAAGGTATACGTAACGGTGTTACTTGTTTTCTTAGTAAATGAAAGATTTAGCCACCATTGTATTTATTTTGGAATATCCTGGGTATCTGTGCCCAAGAAACATACTCTATGTAGGGAAAAAAAAGCTTTAGATACCTGAACCACTTGTAGAAGTGTAAGGTAGTGCCAGGTAGAATCTTCCTAGTATCTTCCTTCTTACTTGACAGTATTTTTTATGGTTGTATAAAGGATGAAAAGTGAAAGTGCTTTTAGCTTATTGTTTTATTGTGCTCTTTGTTGTCGATTTAGCAAAGTAAGAAATCTAACCATCAGCTTGGGCACTGGTCATCTTCTGAATAGTCTATGAAAAGTATGACATCTAAGGAAGACTGATTTGTAAGTTTGGTATATTGCACTGAGTGAATCAAAACATAAATAAAATATATATCCATAGATGCTTGGGCCTTATTAACCCCTGAAAATGGCTAATTTGCTCGCAACGTTTATCAACAGCCACTTATCGATGGAAGCCAATGCTGTAAAAACGAGATGAACCATCTCGTTTTACGATGTTTAATTCAAATTTAAAATATTCTTGGTGATACAAAATTTAATGTTAATAAATAAATAAGAAGGCAATATTTATTTTCTTATTTGACTATCACCATTAATGGCTCTGTGTAATTTATTTTATTTTACAATATTTCACATTAAGGTGGTAGGCCAGTGGTTTTATTCACAGTAGTGGCAATCCGAAACAAATTTATATATCGCGGCGTAGCACTGCTGCTATGCACAGAATCAAAAAACGTATGATATAAATATATAAATGTATTTAATCTTAAATTACGTATAATATTGTTACGCTTATCAGTAAAAATTGAGAAACAAATTACTTTACAAAATATAACCAAGCTTTTATTAACAGAAATGAGCAAATGTAAGCAGCTTAAGGTTACAATATTAAGTAAACTACTTTTTTTTTAATTAACAACAACACTTACCAACGTACAGCAGCACTTTCGATTACGTAGCAACTCATACGTTCTACAACTTTTTAACCGTGTACCGCACATTACCTCCTCCTCTTTTTAGATTGTCATCCTGACAATCATAAAATTAAACACCATACAGTATTTCAAAATATCACCTTTATTTTCTTCCGTTGTATCTACAGGATATTAATACAGCTCCAGGACATAAGAGCTCAATTGTTATGAATCAATTTACACAGCCAGTCAAGTAATTTGATTAATATTAAAATATTAAGTTTGCTGTTGGATGTATGAATGTTTATAAGGAATTGTTGTCATTGTTTGTACTCTAAAGAATGTATAACATTTAAAATTGTTTTTTCTTGTAAAGGTTAAATAATTATAAACATGTACATAAAGCCCGAAGGAGTAAGTAAATTCGAAAACTATTTACTAATCCCCATCATAATTTTATCAAGGGGAAGAGAATTTTTTATACAGAGTATATCATTAAATGTGGGAGGAGAACAGGATCAAAGAATGCTCCTTATACTATAATAGAAGGAATATCAGAATCTGAAAAAGTCTTAAAAATGGAAGACACGTGCATACAGTTTCTTAGTATTACACTTATTCTGATAAAGAGTTGTCTTACATTGCGCAAATGCGATTTCTATATAAATATAGCTGTTATTACCTAAAAAAGCATGGATTAACAAAAAGTTTTGGGGGTTGAGGCACGAAGCGCTGGGGGCTGGGACAACTCGAGGGTGAGAACGGTGTGGCCTTGAACGTGTTACTAATACTGTGACACAACAGGCCACGTTTATGATAAGAGATGGCTCTTTAAGGCGTCAGGCAGTTTGGTGGCAGTCAGACACAAATTAGTAGCATGTAAATTGAAAATTAATTTAGGTTTTACTTACATAAATAAGATCAATTTTATTAATAACCTGCGTAAGAATTCTTACATTTCGCTAGAGAATACAAATCGTCTTTATACTGTACAATTACTATGACTTTTTTTTAATTCGTGTTATAAAATTAGCTACACAACTTTTCTAAGAAATTATTTATGTCAATGTATCTAGTTACAATTGAATGTCTGTAAAACAATGAAAATACACCTAACATTGACGGATTTATTATGATTAAAACATTCGTTGATGATTATATTATTGAGAACACACCAAAAAGATTTTGTTTTACATACGAAATAGTGTAACTAAATACATTACCATGCAAATTTTTTAGAAAAATTATAAAGTAAATTATATAACATGAATAAAAAAAATTATAGTACTAGTACGAAATGTAGAACATCTGTAGTACAGTATGAATCATCTCGTCATAGCTAAGACGTTAACGTGCTTGTGTTGCGCATGGAATGTCAGTGACCGAGGTACGAGACCAACTTCTGTATGACTTTTGTCCCAAGTCGTATTTGCTAATCATATGTATATTGAAACAAGGTTATTACACATTCAGTTTTAAATTTATATGTTTGATAATAGTTTTACTATTTCTGCCATAAAGTTTAGCTAAATATTAGTTAAATTTGAGTTAAATATTTCAGCAAAAATCCAAGTTTTAAATTTTTTATTGCCTATGTTTAGCTAACGTTTGGCCAAGTATGAACTTTCACGAAAGTATCGCAAAATGTAAAAACTTTTTTCGGGGAAGTTCCTTTGACGTCTCAGAGTGTCATAGACTTTTGCTAATGTTGTAGGACAGACAAAATGCGATATTAAATAAAGTTTGATATTTGAAAAACCGTACTTTTTACAACTATTTAATAAATTTTACATAACGTTAAGTGACTCAAGTTTATAATTTGACTATTACATATAATATTATTAATTATTATGTATTCCGTACTTTACTAAGATGGTAAGATTCAATGACCAGTTAAATGGGAAATTGTTATCTGATCGCAGGGCTGAACTAGCAGAGGCAAAAAAACGAGCCAAGACGTATAAAGAAAGAAAGAAACATGACAGATTTGACGGCATGCCAGAAGAGGAAGTGAGCAAGCGCGTGCTTCCAGACCATCTCACAAATGATCTTGACATTATTATAGTAAGTATTACATTAATAGCTCTATCATAAACTTATTTTAGTTTACATGTATATATTTCTTTGACAGCTCTCCACCTATTAAGAGGAAGGGTTTGATTATATTACTTCTTAGTAAGTTCATAATAATCATAATACTAAGCTCCTTGAACTTAAGTCACAGTGATACAAAGCTAGGGACAAAAATTCGATAGTCGATTATTTCTTTTATACACTTTTTTTTGCATTACACTCTCATCAGTTTCTTTGTTCTCAGTAAAATCTTGTATCAGAATTTTTTTACACACACTGCATAAATTCGTTATTTGCCCGCATAAAAAATTTTTACATTTGGCCAAACTTATGCCAAAGTTCATGTTTGGCCAAACGTTGGCAAAGGAGAAAATCCCAAACTTGGATTTTTTCTAAAATATTTGACTTAAGATAAGCTAATTTTCATCCAAACTTCTTAAAAATTAAATTAATTTTTTAACCTATAACTGGTCTGCATACATGTCGTATCGAAAAATTCAGGCCGAAGGTGGTCTCGAACCTCGGCAACTGAGATTCTGCATGCAACACAAGCACGCTGAACCACTCAGCTATGACGAAATTTTATATGCAAAGATATGAATCCAGTAAATATCGTACCAATACTATAATTTTTTTTTTAAATATGTTTAAAAACTGACTTTATAAATTTTTCTAAAAAAATTTTTATGTGAATTTATTTAGTTATAATTAAATGTATGTAGAACAACAAAAGCACACCTGGAATTGGCATATTTAACATGATAAAAACCTTTATTGTATATCATACGTTCGACAAGACTCTAAGGAAATATTGATTTACATACAATTAGTTGTATAGTATGGTACTGGTACAATATGTACACGATTTGTATTTACGTATTGACGATCTCGTCATAGTTAAGTGGTTAAGCATGCTTGTGTCATACGTGGAAACTCAGTGGTCATGGTTCGAGACCATCTCTTACATGACTTTTTCGATATGTCGCATATGAGTAATCGTGCCTTAACTTGCTCAGATCACCATGAAAAATTGTTTTAAAAAAATTGGTTTGAACAATCTTCTTTTATGGTATTTATACTATGTACAACAACAGTAAGAAATATCTTAGGCGATGCAACTAAAAAATTTTCTGGTCAAAAGTTATACGAAATTTTATAAAAGCCAATTTTCATTGGTTTTCGAAATATTTTATCTCTTTCGAACACGTGTAGCTAAGCTCCTTCAACAGTTCAAGTATTCTTACTGAGCTCAAATAAAAGCTGGGACCAAGACCTATCAATTAAAAAAAAATTTCTGACCTCGGACGTTTCTGAGGGTCGGATGTGCCCTCAGTAGGAAAAATAGGATTTGCCCCATAAGCGTCATCGCTCCGCGGCTACCTTACGTCCATTGAGCCCTGCTTTGCACTTTAAGACAAAAACTACTATTTCTCCAATCAAATGCCTCCATTTAAAAGGGACAGCTATTTTAGTTACAGCATCAATCTCATCAATGTGATTTTGGCCAAACTTGATTATTTTTCATAAAATCACTATAACTTTTAATTGGAGGCATAAAATTTAGAGATTTTTATTCTAATCATTAAGACTATGTTTCTTCTTTTATTTTAGCCCAAATTAAACTACCTAATAGAGTGCACCACTTGGCTACCAACTTTGGAAGCAGCACCACCGTTTCTGCGTCTATGTAGCGAAAAAGGCCAATTGTACGAAACCCCGAGAATCTCGAGTTACATGTTATAACAAGAAAAAAAAATCAATTATTTCGACAAAAGTAGTAAAGTGAAATAAATAATGCTTACACTGAGTTATAAAACAAACATTAACTTGACATTATTAAAAACATCTATTGATGGATTCTAAACAGAAAAACTCATATGATAGTATGAAATTCAAGGACTGACTCGCGATCAGAGGGTTTAAGAATGGAAATCAAATCAGAATCAAAATGTTCGGAATAGGAGAAGAAGGAATTTTCTAGTCATTGAGGTAAAAACAAACAGTTAGGAAGAAAACATTGTATGCGTCCAAAAGAAATTAACTATCAAAGTCTCGTATATATTAAGTTTGCAATAAATGCACCCTATGTAAACTCTGATGTATATTCAAGTCATAAATTAGCAATAAAAATAACAGAAAAAAATTAGGGATAAAAAATTAACTAAGACAGTTGAAGAAGTAAGAAATTGAGACTAAAAAAAAGCAGGCAAAATTTTGTAGTAATAAGTTAAAAAAACCATAAGATCTGATATACTATTGAACACAACGCAAGTATTGAGCTACCATTGAACTATCCTATTTACAAAATAAATAAACACTAGAAAACTGTCAGAAAAGTTTCGTATTACCTTAGGAAAACCAACAGTAGAGGTCTGCATTCAAAAGATCGAAATAGTTCCAGGGTAAACTTAGGTGACTTTACCTCTATAAATTGCAAAAACCCCCTAACAATACACGGCTATGATATTTGTACATTTAAACATTTAATTGTATGAAAAACTAAAAAGCCGAATAATACTGCTTCGTTACGTACATTACACATCAATTATTTGAGCTTGTTACAAACTACTTAGTCTCAGTAAAACAGTTTGCCATATTATAGGTGTCTTCTTATTCCAAATATTCTTAAGTAATGTCAGTAAACTAAAATTACCAAAAAATTCTTTTTTCCCTGCTTATTTTTTAGAAAAGTTGTTTTAAAAGTATTTTGAGCTAGGACCAGCATCTAAAAAGGGGTAAATTACCTGCAAGTTACTCGTACCTGCAGCAAAATGATGATTTATGTACATGCACGGTGTCCTATGCTGACCGAAATTAAAAAATAAAACATTTTTCGACAATCGTAGATGCAAAAATTTTACTCTAAATAGTTGAACCTAATGGTAACATTGATTGCAAACTTAATTTTAGATAAGAACTAAGTAACATAAAGTTTTATTTTAGGATAGCTTAGAATTTATACATATAAATAAGCGAAAATAAAAATAAAAGCCAGAATCATCACACATAGTTAGAAGCAATCAGTACACACTACACCACTAGCAAGCAACTACATTACATATTAGCTACGACAAGCCTGGTAAACAACTTTAATAACTTTCAAGGGATAACCCAATTTTAAGCGTTCAAGTTTGCAAGCTCATGATTTACCGTGTAACCCTTTTGCATTGCATTAATAATTTTATAAATAACTGCAATAGCCTAATTGGTAATTAAGTTAATTGCTAAAACTTTTTCTGAATGTAAAGAAAAACGGAAAGTTGAACCTTCTCCTTTTCTTGACTCAGAAATGCCGAGAGAGGAAGAGAGAGCCTGTACGCCTGCCTCTAATAGGGGTAACAGAGTTTCTGATCTCCTAGGGTACCACGAGAGGACTCATTCTCTAACAACTAGTAGCGAAAATGTGTTGACTGAAATTCTACCAACATTCCGTATTATTTTTGCAATATTATAAACATTAAAACTACCCGTAAATCTAATTACGTTAACTAGCGACAGGCATAGTACAATTATTCTTATAATTATCCTTACAACTGCAGTTTTAATTGTTAGTACCTTCATTATAAGAATGACCATTATTATTGTTATTATTATTATAATTATTATTACATCTTATATTATATTTATAAGATATTATGGCAGCAGCCACCGTTTTAGCGTTTAAGTAGTAGTATTAACTTATAAATCGTGGCACACTAATATTTTATTCATCTGAGCATTGATTGAGTTACTAAGCGATTTCCACGGCTCATTTTGCAATGATTTTAGTTGAACAAATGAACGGTGCTTAGTATTAGTGAATATAATTAATATTCTGTGCTTATGTTAATATTAAGTCATACTGAAATCCTGTCAAATTTTTATGTAAAAGAGAAAGGAAGGGCATGAGCAAGTAAATCATTTTCTCTTCCCTTGACGCAAAAAGGAGAGTCAACCGGATGTGAGATTGCAAGAGAGATGGCACGAGGGATGTTGCATTTATTCGTATATTACACTGGACCTTCTCACCTTGTAAGGTTAACAGCTTATTACTAAAATTAATCTTAACTTTATTGTAAGTAAAAAATTCGGCTCCTAAGAAGGGAAAATTTAGGTTGTTGCAGGATTAATCTAATGGTAATATTGATTACGAACTTAGTTTTACATAAGAATTCAGTAACAAAAAGTTAAATTTTAGGATAGCTTAGAATTAATACGTATAGAAAAACAAAAATAATTGTAAAAGCCAGAATTGTCACACATAGTTAGAAACAACCAGTTTAGACTACAGCACCAGCAAGCAACTACATTACATATTAACTACGACAAGCTTGGTAAACAACTTTATTAACTATCAAGGAATAACCCAATTTTTACCGTTCAAGTAGGCAAGCTCATGATTTACCAAGGAACCCTTTTGCATTGCATTATTAATTTTATCAACATACTGCAATAGTCTAATTTGTAATAAGGTTAATTGCTAACACTTTTTCTGAATGTAAAGGAAAACAAAAAAGAAACCCTTCCTTTTTTCCTGACTCAGAGATGCCGAGAGAGAGAGAGTCCGTACGCCTGCCTCCAACAGGGGTAATAGAATTTCTGATATTCTAGGGTACCACGAGAGGACTTATTCTCCTACGACTTGCAGTGAAAAACATGTCCACTAAAACTTACTACTTAGTCAATACTTTTAATTAAGTAGTTTGAGAAAAAAAAAGTAGAACCACATTACAATAAAACCTTAACTCAGACACAATAATACGATCAGCAAGCGCGGAAGCATGGCTGTATCATATAGAATGGACAGTAGCAATGATCGTCACTCTTTGCAAAGCTGCTTTTTTCCCATTAGCTGTAACAGTGCATGTCATACTCCTAGAGTCTGCTAACCAGTTTGCGTGGCTGTGACGTGATATTACCTTAAGATAAATTGCGTGGCATGCTGCTATGAGCTGTGCACTTCTTTCAGTGTAGGTCATTCGGTGATAAGTGCTTGTGAGTAGATAAGCTAT